AAACACCCAACCCAGAGATTCTGTCTGAAAAAGTAAAGCAAGAAGAGTCTGGGAGCATGGACACTACCCTGAATTCAGAACCCAAGTACCATGAAAAAAGAGAAAGAGAGGGCTGGGAAGGTGGCTCAGTGGTAGAGCGCTTGCCTTGCATGCATGAGGCCCTGGGTCGATTCCTCAGCGCCACATAAGCAGAAAAAGCCGGAAGTGGTGCTGTGGCTCAAGCGGTAGAGCGCTAGCCTTGAGCTGAAGAGCTGAGGGACAGTGCCCAGGCCCAGAGTTCAGGCCCCACAACCAACAAAAAAAAAAGAAAAAGATAAAATAAAAAACAGGGTTCAGGTACAGCTCCATTGTGGAGCACTTACTTTAGCTTGCACAAGACCCTGGATTCAATCCCTGGTCCACAGAATGAAATCAACAAACAAAACAGGAAATTACTGAATCAGGAGTTTCATTTTCACCATAAATGTGTCACTCCATCTGTTCTTCTAACCGTGTTTATTCGTCACTGGTGCCTTCTGGACATAAAGTGGCCTGCTGGACAGAGCTCTGGATGCATGCAAGACTTCACCCTATGTTGGTCTGGTTTGCACTTGAGTTGCTATTAAGAAACAGCATCTACTGAATCCTCCTGACTGCTCCTGGGCGGCTCCCTGCCTCTCCTCTTGGTGTGTTAGGGATCGTGCAGAGTTCCCTCCTCTCTCAGGACTTCCTCTCGGTGCTCCTGACCCATTTTTCAAAAACGGGGGAGCCTCCTTGGCGCGCTGCAGTCAGCCAAACACTGACACCCCCAGTTTTTGCGTGTATTTCCTAAGAACTTGCTCCAAAAATAGGAGCTGTGGAATGAAGCACCGTTGGGGTCCCCTTTTCAGGAAGCCCCCCAGAGCCGCCTGCTGCCGTGAGCACTGGTGGACTGAGAAAGGCTCAGACCCTTTTCCGAGGGGGATTTCTCCGGCTGCGGGCATCGCTGCCCACAGATTCCCAGTGCCGATGTTCTCAGGAGGCCCCCAGGGGGAGGGCGAGGGGGGCGACAGTCTTTGGGCAGTCAGGACTTTTTATATGATTTAAAAAATAACTCAATTGATTCATCCAGCCTCCCCTAAGATGTGAAGGCTTAGTCAGCCCCATTGGCCCTGCCCTGTCCCCAGCCCCCAGCTCTCCCCGGGCAGGACTTCCACCACCTGGGTGGTGGGAGAATAAAGGAGGCAGGGCAGGGGTCTCCGGCGAGGAGGCAGGGCCATGCCCCTCTCCCTGGGCTTCGTGAGTTGAGCCGGAAGGATCTAGCAAGGCTTGGTTGGGTCCAGCTGGAGTTGTCCACACCCGGCCCATGGCCCTGGGAGGTGGCGAGCAGAGGCCTGCCCCGGGAAGGGGCGCAGGGGAGCTGACTCAGCACACCCAGGAAAGGCGCTGGAAGAGGCTGTGGACGGGAGTTCCCGCCCTGCCCGCCCGGGAAGCACTCCCCGCCCAGCCCAGCAAAGGACCTGACCTTCCTCGGGCTTGGCCTGCCTCTGTCTGCAGAGGTGCAGGATTCTGGGGCTGGGGCAGAGCACCCTCTTGCCATTTTAGCTCCCTGCCCCCACCATTGTGAGGCCTGGCCTTTGGCTGTGATGGTGGAGACCACCTGCCCTTTGGAACTGGCCACTGCCCTGGGCTGTTCCTGCTTTGAGGACAATGAAAACCAGGGTATCTGTCTGTCTGTCTGTCTGTCTCTCTCTCTCTCTCTCTGTCTCTCTCTGAACCAATAATGATTGTTTTTCACTTGTTCAAAGTCTCCAAGTCAATAAACCCATTCCAAGAGTAAACATGTTCCCTCTTATGGATGACAGACAGATGAACAGACAGCCTCTTCCCTGCTTTCCTGGCAGCTATGAGGATCTGAAGAGGAAAAGAACAGGTCTCAAGAGTGTGAGACAAACCATTTCTGAAACAATCTGAGCTTTGAGCGGTAATTTGCAAACGCTTTTCCCCCAATGGGAAACATTGACGATATTCAGGAAAGATACAGACCTTGGACCACAAACAACTCCGTATCCATACCTCACAATTGACTCAGCTAGTGTATCCTATACACTTCCCACCACCGCCCACCGTTGTATGGTTCGTGTACACATCGGCCTTCTCCATGACCAACTGCTCGCGCATGCCCACCCCCTTCTAGCATTCTCCGTGGAGTGGGTAGAAGGGAAGCATGCCAGGGCATGAGTGAAGGACACAGCCTAGCAGAGAAGGCTTACTGAGGGTGCCCCATCCCTGCTTGAAAATGGAAGCCCCCCATCCCCACAGAGAGATCAGAGGGGACCCAAGGGCACAAGGTCTCTGTGCTCTGGTCATATAAAATTATAGTTATGGAAATGGAAACAAGGTTTGTTCCCATCCTGTTTGCTCACTTATCTGTCTTTGGGGAGGGGGAGGGGGTCCATGGAGAGACAAAGGGTGAACAAATGCAGCAGTGGCATTTACTACATACTGTGTTGAAAATGAACTGTGCAACTTGTGGACAGGAATGGGAGGGAAAAACTGGGAGAGAGCAGGGGAAGGGGCGATAGTGTCCAAAGAGAAATGTACTCTTGACCTGACTTATGTAATGGTAACTCCTCTGTATATCATCTTTATAATAACAATAAAATAATAACTCATAAGTAAGCCTCCGGGCTGGACACGGTAGCACATGCTTGTAATCCAGCCACTGAAAGGCAGCCGGAGGAGTATCACAGTACGTAGCTGCTCCAGGCAAAACATGGAAAAACAAACTGAAGCAAAAGGGCCAGGGAGCCTGTCTGCCCACATGGGGAGCAAACAACACAAACCAGAATTCCTGTCTCGGTCAGGCCAAGTTGGGTTTTTTGTTTTGTTTTTTGTCGGTCATGGGGCCTGAACTCTGGGCCTGGGCGCTGTCCCTCAGCTCTTCAGCTCAAGGCAAGTGCTCTACCACTTGAGCCACAGCACCACTTCCAGCTCTTTCTGCTTATGAGGAATTGAACCCAGGGCCTCATGCATGCAAGGCAAGCGCTCTACCACTGAGCCACCTTCCCAGTCCCAGGCTGAAGTGTTGATCCTCTCATTTCACCTCCCCACAGACCCCTGAGGCACTTCTGCTGGGACTCCTGGGCTCTCCAAGGTGCACGGTTTGAGAAACACTGGCCTTAACTGTCCCCCCCACCTCCCCTGCAGAGGGGCGGGGTGGGCTGGTGAGGGGGAGAGAGCGGGGGAGGGGGAGCGGGGGGGAGCGGGGGTGGTGGTGACAGGAAGGGTGGGGGGGCGGGGGGCTGGTGACAGGGAGGGGGAAGCGAGGTGGGTAGTGACAGGAAGGGTGGGGGGAGCCTGAGGCCTTGCCCAGCTCTGGCACCCCTCCACGCAGCGCCTGTCCCTCCGGTGGGCGCTGCCCAGCCCAGCTGCTTGGTTCTCGGGACCCTGCCCTCTTCTCTGAACTGCTCGCTGTATTCATGACTGCCTGTGAGGCTGGTGTTCCAAGTTACATCTCTGAGCCCAGGAGGAGCCCAAGCTTGCAGGAGAAGGGCGGTCAGCAGCCGGACACAGGCTGAGCAGTCTTCGGGCGGGGGGGGGGGGGGGAGTGGCCTCCGCAGAGAGCGGAGTGACGCTCACTGTTGAAGAGTATTTCTGAGATCCGGGGGACCTTGTGCTGTTAGAGTTCCACACGTGGGAAGGCACTGGGGCACACGGGGTGCCAGTGAACAGCCACGATCACGGGAGGGCTGAGGAATGGAAAGGGAGGGGAGGCGGGGTTCGTGATGTGTGTGGTGGACAGAAGCCGGCAGGTGCAGGGCAGTACACCTGGGAACTTGAGATGGGCAAAGCATCCGCTGAGCAAAGCATCCGCTGAGCAAAGCATCCGCTGAGCCAATGAGGCACACCTGCGCTTTCCTTCCTGGTCCAGCCCCCCCGACTGAGCTCTGGGGCGCTTTCCTTCCTGGTCCAGCCCCCCGTCTGAGCTCTGGGCGCTTTCCTTCCTGGTCCAGCCCCCCATCTGAGCTCTGGGGCGCTTTCCTTCCTGGTCCAGCCCCCTGTCTGAGCTCTGGGCGCTTTCCTTCCTGGTCGTCTCCCTGTCTGAGCTCTGGGCGCTTTCTTTCCTGGTCCAGCCCCCTGTCTGAGCTCTGGGCGCTTTCCTTCCTGGTCCAGCCCCCTGTCTGAGCTCTGGGCGCTTTCCTTCCTGGTCCAGCCCCAGTCTGAGCTCTGGGCGCTTTCCTTCCTGGTTCAGCCCCCCTGTCTGAGCTCTGGGCGCTTTCCTTCCTGGTCCAGCCCCCTGTCTGAGATCTGGGTGCTTTCCTTCCTGGTCCAGCCTCCCTGTCTGAGCTCTGGGCGCTTTCCTTCCTGGTCCAGCCCCGGTCTGAGCTCTGGGTGCTTTCCTCTGGTGATTCTTAGGTTAGGTGTATCCAGCTGAGGAGCCTGGGTTCCAGGGCTGAGGGCAGGGCCCAGGGTTTGGAAGGTTCACTGTGGGAAGCATTCTGAGGAGAGGACTGCTAGATGCAGTGTGTGGAAGGCACGTACGAGCCAGCAGTATAGCTGGGACCATGGGACTTTGTGGGTGAGAGAAGAGGAGCAGGATGCTCCTGCCCGTTCCCTGCCCAGCTCCTTCATCAGTGCCACCCTGCCTTGCCACTTTTGTGGTGGTGGGGATGGTGGTCGTGGGGCTTGAACTCTGGGCCTGGTCGCTGTCCCTCAGCTCTTCAGTGTAGGCGATCACTCTACCACTTGAGCCACAGCACCGCTTCCAGTTTTCTGGTGGTTTATTGGAGATAGAGTCTCACGGACTTTCCGGCCCCAGCTGGCTTTGAACTGTGATCCTCAGATCTCAGCCTCCTGAGTAGCTAGGATGACAGATGTGAGTCACCGGCACCTGGCTATGGTCTCTCTTTAAAGTCAGCTTTTCCTTGTGGTGGAGGAACTGTCCACCAAATGCACTCAGGACCCCAGAAGAAAAGGGTCCACCTGCCCCCCAGGATCATTATCAGGACTAACTGCACCGCCCGCTTGTCCCCCTGCAGGTCGCTGGCCGTCGGGCCTCAGTACTCTTCCCTGGGCACCCAGCCCATCCTCTGCGCCAGCATCCCAGGCCTGGTGCCCAAGCAGCTGCGCTTCTGCAGGAACTATGTGGAGATCATGCCCAGCGTGGCCGAGGGGGTCAAGGCTGGCATTCAAGAGTGCCAGCACCAGTTCCGGGGCCGCCGCTGGAACTGCACCACCGTCAGCAACAGCCTGGCCATCTTCGGCCCTGTGCTGGACAAAGGTACCGGGCGGCCAGGGCATGCCTCTACTCTAGCAAGGGTAGCACCGGACACTGGGTGTCCACCCTAGGGGGCTTGGTAAAACTTGGAGAGAAACAAACAACCAGCAAGTTCCTCCAAAATAAAAGGGCAGAAGGGAGTCCGCGAGGCCTTGGGGAATGGTGGCCAGGCAGAGCACGGGGCTGCGGGTTGGTTTGAGGGAGGAGAGGACAGCAGAAGGACTGGGTGTTGGTTAGCTGCTACCAAAGAGCAAATTATCCTAAAATGTAGTGGTTTTAAGCAATAATTATCATGCGCTGACCTCCTGCCACTGTGGTCAGAGCGCAGCAGCCCTCGGGTGGAGCTGGCTCCATTCCTCAACACACGCCATTCATGAACATGTCCCCATGAGGCTGCCAGACACCAAGATGGGGGCGGGAGGGGGGTCCTTACACAGTACCTGGGACCCCAGGGTAGAGACCTAATAAGGAGAGAGACACAGAGAGACAAGACCGCAGTGCATGATGGATCACGCCTGTAACCCTAGCTGCTCAGGAGGCTGAGATCTGAGGATGGAGATTCAAAGGCAGCCCAGGTGGACAAATCCATGAAGACCAGAAGAGGAACTGTGGCTCATGTGGTAGAGGCCAGCCTCAAGTGAAAAAGCCAAGTGAGAGCACAATGCCCTGAGTTCAAGCCCCAGTACTGATGAGAGAGAGAGACAGAGACAGAGACAGACAGAGAGACAGAGACAGAGACAGAGAGAGACAGAGACAGAGAGAGACAGAGACAGAGAGAGAGACAGAGACAGAGAGACAGAGAGAGACAGAGACAGAGAGAGACAGAGACAGAGAGAGACAGAGAGACAGAGAGACAGAGACAGAGACAGAGAGACAGAGACAGAGAGAGACAGAGACAGAGAGAGACAGAGACAGAGAGAGAGACAGAGAGAGACAGAGAGAGACAGAGACAGAGAGAGACAGAGAGACAGAAACAGGCTGGAGGTGAAAGGCTTCCATACCTTTAAAAATCATGTAGTTTTTAATCTTTTTGAAGCCTTTTTATCATATTCGCAGAATGTGTTTAACATTGTCTCAGAATCACACTTCTTTTTCATTATAAAATATTTTCAGCATCCCAGAAAGAAACCTATGCCCACTAAGCACTCTCTTCCCAATTCTTTTCCCTCTCTGGAAGAGCTGTTTTCCGTCCATCCCTGCAGATTTTCCCATTCTGGACATTTTCTGTTATTGTGATTACACAATATTTGACCTTTTGTGTCTGGCTTCTTTCACCAAAACTTAGCCTGTCTTTGTGCTTCATTCCTTTATTTTTAATTTATTTATTATTATATTTACTTATTTATTTTTTGTTGGTCATGGGGCCTGAGCTCTGGGCCTGGGCGCTGTCCCTCAGCAATTCAGCTCAAGGCGAGCGCTCTACCACTTGAGCCACAGCGCCACTTCCACTTTTTCTGCTTATGTGGTGCTGAGGAATTGCACCCAGGGCCTCAGGCGTGTGAGGCGAGCGCTCTGCCGCTGAGCACCTTCCCAGCCCTTCATTCCTTTTCATGGCTAGATATTGTTCCATTGGGTGATTGAGTCCCATGTGCCTGCTCACTCTCCAGTCATCTGAATTGTTTCTGACTTCTGGATTTTGCAAATAGTGCAGCTGTGAGTATTCTTGGGCAAACATTTCTTGGAGTATTTTTTCAGATCTTTTGGGACATATAATTATGAGGAGAATTGCTGACTTAAATGCTGATTCTTGTGTGTGTGGTACTGGAGTTTGAATTCAGGGCTTTCTGCTTGGTAGGCACTTAATTCATACCTTACAGACCTTTTTCTGATGTTATTATTTTTTAGATAGGGTCTCATGTATTTATTTACCCTGTAGCCAGCCTCAGATTGCAAACCTCCGACCTGTTCCTCCCAGACAGCTGGGAGAGCTGCTGCATGTCTGTTGGTTGAAGTAGGGCTTTCAAACCAGGCACCCACGGCTCACGCCTGCAATCCCATCTACTCAGGAGGCTGAGCTCTGAGATCAGTTTAAAGCCAGCCTGAGCAGGAATGTTCACGAGTCTCTTATCTCCAATTACCCACCAGAAAGTCAGGCGTGGAGCTGTGGCTCAAGTGGTAGAGCTCTAGCCTAGAGCAAAAAATCTCAGGGACAGTGCCCAGATCCATAGTTCAGGCCTCAGGACCCCCCCCCCCCCCCCCCCCCCCGCCACAGAGCTTCCACGGACTTTCTGTCTGAGCTGCCTCAACTTTCCATCCTCCCCATCTTTGCCTCATAAGTAGCTGGAATTACAGATGCACAGCACCACGCCTGGCACTTGTTACTCTTTTTAAAAACCATCCTAGTGTATGTGAAATGGCATCTCACTGTTTTATTTTCACATTCCAATAGTTAACAGTACTGAGCATATTTTCATGTGTTTATTGGCCATCATGGGTCATCTTTAAAGAGGTGTCTACTCAAGCCCTTTTTTTTTTCAATACTGGGGCAAGTACTCTAACCAGTTAAGCCTTACCTTAGCCCTTACTCTTTTTCCCAAACCAGACCAGCACACTCCTACCTTCTAAGGAGGTGGGATTACAAGCATGTGCCACCATGCCCAGCATGGGGCATTTTGCCCATTTCTCCATTGAGTTGTTTGACTTTTTACTATTCAATAAGTTCTTTCTACCTTCTGGATAACAGATACTTACCAGATATAAGATTTGTGAATACTTCCTTTCATTTTGATAGTGGCCTTTGAAGCTCAAAAATTACTTTGGTTAAAATTGTTGTGACATCAAAATAAATGTTGCCTAAGCCCAGGCCTCAGCAATTTGTAGCTCTGCTTTTCTGTGAGTTTCGTGTTTATCGCTTATGGTCATCTGTCAATCTATTTAATTTTTTAATTTGGTGTGAGGTAAACATCACATATGCTTTGCTGTGGATACCCCACAGCTCCAGTACTATCTGGAGGGAAAAAAAGCTCCCTCAGACATAGTCTGGATGGTCCTGGCACTCATGTTGAAGATCAGTTTGTCATTCAGTTACTCTGGGCTTTCAATTCCACTGGTTAATACATTAGTATTTTGTTAATTTCTATATCATTTTATTGTAGCTTAATAGGATGTTTTGAAATCAGGCCATGTGAGTCTTCTAAATTTTTTTTCTTTTTAAGATTGCTCTGGTTATTTGGGATCCTTTGAAATTCGATGTAGACTTTTAAGCTCAGGCTCTGCATTTATTTTTTTAATGGAAGTATATTGACTCTGTGGGTTATTGTGGGAAGAGTTCCATCCCAACTCTATTAGGGCTTCTAATCCAGGAATTCTGCTGTGTGTCCAGAGCCCCATTCCATTGCTTCAGTGATGTGTCATAGTTTGGGCCCATGCTTTGTGCCTCTTGCTTAGTGTCAGCCTCAGTGTTTTGTTTTGTTTTTTCTTTTGAAGCTGACAGTCTTAAGAGTTTCCTGAGTTTGAGATGTGCCCTGTGTGAATGCAGATACCTCTGCCTCTTGCTTTCGTTTCCTTTTCTGGCTGATTCCTGCAGCTAGGACATCCAGTGCCATGTAGAACGGAAGTAATGAGTAGCCTTTTGCCATGCATTTGAGGTTGGCTGTGGGCTTTCATATGCCCTTTGTCCTGGAAACTTAGCCCTTTGAGTTGTAGTGATTTTGAGGAAAACCCTCTATCTGGAACATCACCCCTGTAGGAGTGGGGGGGGCAGAGAGCGACCCCCAGGGCAGGGTCAAGATGCTTTGCTCCAGAGCAAGCTCCCCGCAGCCTGCTTTCCCCAGCCAAGCCCCATGACTGGTCGGTTGGTACGGTGAGAGCCCTTGGAACTGAGTCCTTCCTAAACGCTGGTGGCCGCAGGAACCTTGCAGGGTTGCTGCATATCCACTCATAGTGCCCGAATCTGCAGTGGCTGCATATCCACTCATAGTGCCCGCGTCTGCAGTGGCTGCGTGTCTACTCATAGTGCCTGCGGCTGCAGTGACTGCGTGTCCACTCATAGTGCCCGCGTCTGCAGTGGCTGCGTGTCCACTCATAGTGCCCGCGTCTGCAGCGGCTGCGTGTCCACTCATAGTGCCCGCGTCTGCAGCGGCTGCGTGTCCACTCATAGTGCCCGTGTCTGCAGCGGCTCGTGTCCACTCATAGTGCCCGCGTCTGCAGTGGCTGCGTGTCCACTCATAGTGCCCGCGTCTGCAGTGGCTGCGTGTCCACTCATAGTGCCCGCGGCTGCAGTGGCTGCGTATCCACTCATAGTGCCCGCGTCTGCAGCGGCTGCGTGTCCACTCATAGTGCCCGCGTCTGCAGTGGCTGCGTGTCCACTCATAGTGCCCGCGGCTGCAGTGGCTGCGTGTCCACTCATAGTGCCTGCGGCTGCACGGCTTTCACGCGTACCTGCACTCCTTAGAGTGTGAGTACACGTGCCTTCAGATGTGCAGCACATGTGGCTTGGAGCGTGTGTGTGCGCGTACACGCGTGTGCACACACCATGTGTAGAGTCTGTACCTGTGAATGCTCAATGTGCATGTGGAGCAGTTGCTTTGCAGGTGAGTCCTTGGGCTCTGTCATGGGCATGGAGCCTTGGGAAGCGGAGACAGGTGCGGCACACACATGGCTGTCAAGATACCCCACACGGGAGCACGGTCATGTGGGTGTGCTGCTCCACGCCAGGGGTCACTTCCCATCCACTGGGGCTTGGATCACAGTCGCCTGACTCCAAATTTCCCAGAAAGAATGGGGACCGCGGCTGGGAGGCCCTAGGGCACCCACGTGGCTGCCGTGTGGAGGGTCTGTCTGTGCGGAGAGGACAGGCCAGGGGGGGAGGGGGCATGCTGCTCCTGAGGGGGCCACTGGGGGGCCGTGGGGGCATCAGGTCCTTGAAAGTTTTCTTCAAAGATCTTTTGGACAGCCCCGCAGACTCTCCAGGGCCAAGCCTGTTGGATGTGGGCTGAGGGCTGGGGACGCCCAATTCCTCTTACCCTCTTTAAAAGCTGCACTGAGCTGGAGTCTGGACTGTA